GTATACAGAAATGGCATCTGCCTTTGCCACTAAGTTTTCCAGTAGAAGGTTGATCAGGAAAACTACTTCTGAGCTGATGAGAGTTAAACAGAGGGATGGAGAATCTCTCAAGAACTATATGAGCAGATTCAATGATGCGGTATTGGAGGTTAGTACCTTTGATCAAGCTGTGGGGATTGCAGCTGTGATCTTTGGTCTTAAGCATGACAGGTTCAGAGACAGTTTGATCAAACATGCTGCCACCACCTTCAGTGAGGTGAATGATAGGTCTCTCAAATTTATAACTGCTGAGGAGTACGCCCTGGTGCAAAACCCACCTCCCTCTAAGAACCAGAACCCAGATTGGGGAGATGACAACCCGAGCAGGAAAAGGATGAGGGTGGCGCAGAACCGAGGTCCGATGTTGACTTCCCCGTCGAGATTCGGAAGGCCGAACTCAACACCCCCGCAACAATCTGCAGGTAAACCTCCAGCTAATTGGACTCCCTTTAATCTGCCGAGGTCGCAAATTTTTATGTAGATTAAGAACAAAATGGACTTGAGATGTCCTTGCCCAATGCGAACTGCTGCTGCTAGTCGAGACCATACCAGATATTGTGATTTTCACCAGGATCACGGCCATACTACATAGCAGTGTAACAGCTTAAAGTCCGAACTAGAAAGTTTAGCTCAGAAGGGAATGCTGAATGAGTATGTTCAGAGAGCTGAACAACCGAGGTTTGTCAGAGAGTAGAGGCCGCAGCCTCAAGGAGTCCACAATCCCCCAAATAGACAAGGTGTGGGATATTAGCAAGCCCCACCTCCGCTCCCACCACCGGCTAGAATCATACATATGATTACGGGAGGCCTTGAAGCAGGTGGACTGAGCTCTAAGCAGCGAAAGCTGTATGTTAGGGAGGTTAAACATCAAAACTGAGCTCAGAAGAGGAAGATCGACGATGCTGAATGGAAGAATCAACCAATTACTTTCACATCTGCTGATCTCGATACAGTTGTTACACCCCACAATGATCCTCTGGTCACTTCTGTCATGATCAACAACTGTGAAGTACAGCGTGTCGTTGTTGACACCGGGAGTGCACCAGACATCATGTACTTCCACTGTTTTGAGAGTCTGGGGCTAGATCTAGCATTGTTGCATAAGTATGATGGTCCTATCTATGGTTTCAACAACCAACCTGTTCCGGTAGAAGGAGTTCTTACCCTCCATGTGGCTTTTGGGAGTGGTCGGACCTATGTAGCCCCTTTAGTCCGGTTCTTTGTTGTCAAGATGGCCTCTTCTTTCAACATTGTTATTGGCCGACCTACATTGACCGAAATCCGAGCTGTAGTTTCTCAATCTCACCTCTGCATGAAATTCCCCACTCCTATGGGAATAGCAACACTGCGAGGAAATCAGGAGGTGGCCAGACACTGTTATATCACCTCGATAACACAACCAACGAAGGGAAAAGATAAGACACCTGAGATCATTCCCCAGCGAGTTCCTGATAGTCAGCAGGTTATGGGTGTAGAAATCGTTGATAATCAACCAGAAGATGAAACCAGAGCTGCTCCGGTCGAAGATGTTGAAGAAGTGCTCGTTGATGACAGAGATCTGAGCCGAAAAACGCAGATCGGAACTAGATTGAACCCGGATGAGAAAGCAGAACTAATAGCTTTTCTCCGAGCTAACAATGATGTATTTGCATGGACTTCGGCAGATATGCTAGGAATTCCAACTTCAGTATGTCAACATAAGCTCAGTACCTACCCATTGAAGAAACCAGTGGCCCAGAAGCGGCGTCTCTTCGGGGGGGAGCGGCTTCAGGCTATCAAAGAAGAGGTAGAGAAACTCCTACAAGCT